TATCAGACCATGTAGCAAACAATAGAAATAATATAATTATAAATAAATTATATAATAATATATATTTTTGTAACTTGCGCGTATTTTAATTAAATTATTAGTTAATTTATCAATTTATATGTAATATATAAGTATGTGTTTTAATTTATTGTATCAGTAATATTTTTTATATTACATTAATGTAATAATGTAGTTAATTTTATGTTTATTTGTTAATTTAAAATAACAAATTAATGAAAAAAATAAAATTAAATATTTCTTAATTTTTTTAATTTAATAGTTATTATTGTTATCATTATATATATATATAATACATTAAGTTTAAATTTTTATATTAAGTTTTATTACATGTTTTTTAATTAAGGTAAAAATTTATAAATATAAGTTATTTTAATTTAAATATAAATTTTAATAATTCTTCCTATGCTCATATATTATTTTTTATCTACAATTTTTATAATGATGACATTTATTTACTTTTTAAAATATAATACTTTTTTCAACTAATTCAATAAATTTTGTAAGTGTTATTTTTTGTTCTTAATTTTATGTGTTTACTGATATTTTATTTATTGAATATAAGATGCCTTTATACAAACAAAATATAATTATCATAAAAAATAATTAAAATATTTAATAATTTTATAAAATTAAGTAGAGAAAAATATAAATATAAAATTTTATAATATGAAAATATTTATAATTAATGCTCAAATAATATTTTAAAAATTATTTATAAAATTGTATAAAAATTATTATAATTATTTAATAATTATCAATAACACAAATAAAAATTTAAATATATGTAAAATAATTTGATAATAAAATAATTATATTTTTATTAATATTATTCAATAACAACAATTATTATAAATTTTTAATATTATACAAATTTTATTTTATTTTTTTATCTTTTCTTAAGCAATTTTATTGGTATAAAATTTATAATAAAAAGTTTTATTGATTGTATTCATTACATCACAACAAATCACAAACTTAATACAATCACATACATTTGAGATAAAGCTATTATCGTACTTATTTTTTATTCTTATTTTATTATTATCTATAGTTACTTTGAATATAAATATAAAGTAAATTATTATATTTGTTTGAATAAGCTGAAGAGCAATAAAGACTTCAAATAAGATTAGAACGTAATCAAAATTAAAGTAACTAATATTTAAAAATAAAATAATAATATTATATTAATTTATATTTTATATTTTTAATTTTATTATTATTATTATTATTTAATTATTATATTAATATATTATGTTATAATTTTTTATTTATAATAAATAAAAATTATATTATATTCGAAACTAAAAATATTTATACATGATTACACGTGTTTAAAAAATAAATTTATTTAATCATAAATTATTATATTTGTTATATTTAAACAAGTTGAAAAAGAATAAGATACGATCAAAACTAAACGAATTAAAATTTAAAAATAAAATACTAATATTCTTTTAATAAATTTTTCATATTTTTAATTTTATTATTATTAATATTTAATTATTATATTAATATATTATGTTATAATTTTTATATTTATAATAAATAGAAATTGCTTAAATATAAATTATATTTTATTCGAAAGGAAAAATTTATAAAAAATTATAAGAAAATAAAATAAAAAATTTATTATAATATATATTAATATATTAATATATATATATATATATATATATATATAAAATCAAACCATGTAGCAAATAATATAATTATAAATAAATTATATAATAATATATATTTTTGTAACTTGCACGTGTTTTAATTTAATTATTAGTTAATTTATCAATTTATATGTAATATATAAGTATATGTTTTAATTTATTGTATTAGTAATATTTTCTATATTACATTAATGTTATAATGTAGTTAATTTTATGTTTATTTGTTAATTTAAAATAATAAATTAATGAAATAAATAAAATTAAATATTTTGTAATTATTTTTTTAATTTAATAGTTATTATTATTATCATTATATATATATATATATATATATATATATATATATATTGCATTAACTTTAAATTTATTTATTTTTTAAAACATAATAATTTTCTTTTAATTGATTCAACAAATTGTGTGAATGTTAATTTTTTTTTATCAATTTTATGTTTTTACTATAACTTTATTTGTTAAATATAAGATGTATTTAAACAAACAAAATGTTTCTAAAATAAAACTAAAATATTTACTATTTATATAATTTTTAAAAAATAAATCAAGAAAAATATAAATATAAATTTTATTAATATAAAATATTTATAATTAAAACTTAAATAATATTTTAAAAATTATTTATAAAATTATATAAATATTATTATAATTATGTAATACTTATTAATAACATAGATAAAAATTAGAAAAATATATAAACTAATTTGATAATAAAATATTTATATTTTTATTACTATTTTTTTTTTGTAACAGACTTTGTTAACAGGCTTCAGGCCATACCACTTAAACAGGTCATGTCAGACCTAAAATAAAGCCTTTAACAAGTAATAGGTCAGACTCAGACCTAATAATTATGTTATAGGTCAGGCCTGTTTAGAGTAAAGTCTGACCTGGCCTGACCTGTTTCCATCTCTAATAGCAATCTACCAAAGTTAGAGTCTTAACTTTAAAAATACCTCACTATAGGATTTTGCCTAAAATAAGACACATGAGAGGTTTACGTCTCTTTTTCCCTTCCTAGTAAGCATTGTAGCTTAGTAACATGACATGCAAACCATGAGCATAATAATTTTTTCTTTTCTTTCTTCTTCATCCAAAAATAAAAGAAAACAATGATGAAAATACATTCACTTTGTGAAATCATGATCATCGTGATAAGCCTACATTGGTAGGATATCTCATAAGAGTGTTAAGTCACATTTTATCTCATCATTTTCAATTATTCAAAATCATCATGCATTCATTAGGCTTATGCTTACATATTAGGCATCAATTTCATTTTTTTTATTTCTCATTTTACTTACTTTTTCCCCTTTTTAGATTAGGAAGATTCAATAGCATTCAATAAATAAGAGAGGTTTAAGGATACTACCAATGCATCAGAATCAATGAAAAGTATCACAATCATAATGTTGAGTAATGACCTTTGAAAAGTGAACAAAATTCATCACAATATGTCCAAAAAAGCATACTCAAGTTTAAATTTGCTCTCTATCTAATAGAAGCACCAATATTGAATATTTTAGCCTAAATCTAGAAATCAAACCTCACGTGTTTAAAGTTACCCATTTTGAATCTTGTGCCTATCATAGATGAATAAGAAATTATGATAAAACTACCAATAAAGGAAGACAATAAGGTATATCTCTATAAAGAAAGTTATGTGGCATCTAGAAAAAAAAATAGCTACTTTGATTGGTTTAAACACAGAGCAAATAGAGTTTGAGAGTAGAGGATCAATGCAAGGTTAGAAGAAAAACTTTTTGAAGAAAATTTGAAGTATTTGTTCAAGCAGGGGAATTAGGACAAATTCAATAAGACTCTGACATTATTGATCTAGGTACTGGTTTTATTCCTATTCACCTCAGGTTTTGTGAATTAAGCCACTATAGACATATTTCACTAATATGAAATACATAAAGTGAATCTGGTTCTAGAGATTCTAACAGATACATTACTCTCTATGGAAATATGTCATAAGAAAAAAAGGGGGGTATGTTAGGATGTTGTTCTCAACTGTTACTTATTTGGTTCACGAGCCATTTCTATGCAGTGAATCATATGGGTCACATGCCAGATCCTCTGAGGAGGTTTCATCCTATTCTAAATAAAAAATAGGATGGTCAAGCATGAAAAAAAATACTTCTTAAGATTCAATATAAAATATTTTTCAATGGTATGTTCTTGGTACCATCCTAAAGATATTATTGTCAGTTGTGAAAAGTTTTCAAGCATGTCTTTGATGGGACATAAGGAATGTATAGCATATACTTTGATCGTAACTCTTAGACAAGTGAACACAAATAAAGCCAAGAAATGAAGAACTAGTTGAGCTTCCAATATGCTAAAAATGGTACAAATAAGCACCTAGAAGAGATTAGAGCTATTGGGGAAATGTTAAAAAGGAAAGGAGAGAAGGAACTTGGAAAATCATGCATAATTGCGTCATCACAATATGGGGAATGAAGAGAAGCTAGAAGAGCTCAAATTCAAGCCCTTAAGAAATATTTTCAAGGAAAAGAATTCTCTCAAGCACTAGGTGAAGTGGTGACTTCCTTAATGATTCAATGAGTGAAAACACAAAAAAGACTATTGGACGAAGAAGAAAAATGTGTCAAAGTAAATGTAGACAAACTTAATAGATAATGTCAAAAGAAAGAATAGAAAAATAAATTATTTGAATGATCAATATGTCGATTGATATGAAGACTCAAATCATATTAAAAGAGTAGTAAAAAAAAATGGAAGAGAAGAAGATGCATCTTTGTCCAAAATGATGGAAGATGAAATAAATGCATTAAAAAGAGAATTTACTAAACTTCTAAAAAAGAAGAGAAAATTACATGAGCATAATGAAGTGTTCAAAGACGAGATAAATGATATATTCGAATGAGAATAAAAGATGAAATGGATAAAGACAAATATAATGATATATATAATTGTGTCCAACATGACACTAAAGAAATGGTGAAACACTTTCAAGAAGCAAACGAGTAGACTCAAATGAACCTTGAGATAAGATTTTCTTTAAAAGTCACTATGTTTTTAGATATTTTATAAAATATTGCTAGGAGTTTCAAGGTACACATGTAATTTCATCACTTAAAATTAAAAAATATCGAATCATCATAATTTTTAATGAGTTTAATTTGATGCAATTATCATAAAAGCAAAAAAAAAAAAATAGTTAAATCATACACGTTATTATATTTTAAAAAGAATCAAAAATTATTTTAAAATAATTCATCTTTACAAACTATAAAACATAATAATGAAAACTATTTTTTTTATTTCAGTGAATATAAATTGCAATGAACTCAAAGTTCTAGAAATTATTTTCAGTTTTGATTTCTCTCTCAAAATTAGCTTTCTCATTATTTTTTCACATTTTTATTTCCTCACTATTAATTTTAATCCTTTAAATTAAATTATCAATAATTAATATTTAACAGTGCAATCTATGTACATATTATACTTTTCTTTATTATCGACGACTGGGTGCACTAGCGGCCACATCATCCATCAGGATTATTAGGGAGATATTATTTTACACCAATAAAAAATATATAGTTGCATTCACAAATTTATTCGATCAATATACAATTTAATGTTTTAGAAAAGCACACTTAAAAATAGAAAAGCATTTTTTTTGGAGTAAGAATCTGAAAACAATATTATTTTATTTACCAATTATTTTTCATATAGGATATACCAACAAATTAACAAAAGCATATATAGTCTATTTTAACACAAGTTTCGTATTTGTGATTTATAAGAAATAAAGTAAATCTCTGTCCTAGTGACCCACCCATATCATCGGAAATGCTAGCTTTGAGGAATGATAGATTATCCACAACACACACCATTCGTTGAAACAGATTTTTAATCAGCAAGAAGCTCTATCTTGATGCCTTTGATAGTGACTAGTCCTTTCCCGTATTTGGGAACCAAAGTCACCACTACACTATCATCATCGTCTGCTCCTAATTCCTCCAACAAATCTGTCAATCCTAGCCTCAAACAAGTATTGATCTTCTTATTTTTGTGCTTATGTGAATGAGGCACATTCACATAGCTTCCTGCAAACTCAGTATTATCTGGTCGAACCAGCTTATCATCTTCATCATTAATAAACACATCAAACTTCAGAGGTATGTTCCTCTCAAACTCAATCCCTTCAATCACCAAAACTTCCTCCTCCTCTTCCTTTTCCTTCTTGTTCCTCGACTTCTTAGGCCTCTTCACCTCAGTACTCACAATTGAATCCAAAACCAATGGAAACTTAACACTCCTTGAAGTCTCAGCAGCTTGTGCTGCACCAACACCAAAATGTTGTCCAAGTGCTACCTTTTGAACCCTTGGCCTACGCGGTGTGGGCTTAGCTTTTAGCCATGGAATGTCTACGTCCTGGTAAACATACCTAAGGTTTCTTGTGTCAAGGCAATCCTTGACTTTCACACGCACAAGGTTCTTATTCTCATCATAGAATAGCAACCCAGACTCTAACCAATCTGGGTCAGTGAAATCCTTTCTCTTTCCACCAAGTGTTTTCCATATGGACCACATCCTATCAATGTTCGAATGGTGAGAATAGAAAATGGGGTCTCTTGCAGCCGAATAGAAAGTCCCCATATTCTCATAGTTAGGTTGGTTATTGTCACCAGTCCATCCATGAACAGGACCATGTGGAACGTTCTCCACTGAGCCAGCACCAGGGTCAGGATCATCCCCAGCACGATAAGCGCTGCCAAGGAACAATCTTGGAATTTTTCCATTAGACACAACTTGCCTATACATTATAGTAAGATTGGAGGGTATGTTACCTTTGGTGTTAGGATCATCGAAACTGAAATCAAGGTCTACAAGCGTTGGTGGTTGATGATTAGCACTGCGAAGTGTGTCATAAAGGGGTGATTTAGGATCTGTATAAATGGAAGGAATTTGCATGCCCTTGGGAGCATCCCAATTCCAAAATGGTAGGGCAAAGGTTGGGTCATTTATCAAGCTCCCTAAGATTCTCTCATAGAAATAGAGATACCATCGGTGGAAAGGAAAGAAGAGCCAAGAGCTGTGGACTTGAAGATCAAGGTCAGGGAACCCAACTTGGTGATAGGCACCATCACAATAAGCACAATGGACATTTGCTTGTTGTGTGAAACTACGCGGATCATCAGATGGAAGGTTTTTCATGAGGTCAAGGGCTTTTTTGTATTTGGCTAGATAGTCATCATTGACCAAATGTGCGGCTGGTCTTACCCTCAAAGGTTGGTTCGAAGAAGGGAACTTGAAATCTATGATTGTGGAAGATGGTGGACAACAATTGGTGGGTTTTGCACCTGAGGGTAGATCTGGTGGACCGCATGTGGTTAGATCCGGAGGTAACACTGGAGAAGCAAAGGCAAAAGGGTTGTTATTAAGAGTAACAGCACCACATAACCCTCCTAGGCCAATCAGAATGTTCCTCCTATGTCCTACAAGATTTTGTTGTAGTTCTCCTTCAGATGGTTTTGAGTTGTTTTGGTTACCACTGCATGCAACCCTAGGAATGTCATGGGGTTTAGATTTTCTATATTTAGAGGATTGGTGTTGCTTTGGAGAGAATGGATATAAGAAAGAAGAGGGAATGGTGGAGTTGGAAGAGATATTGACTGTGGACGCTAAGGGTAAATGAGAGAGAGATGCCATGTTTACATATATCTTAAATTCTTTTTGAGCCCCTTTTATATTGAATTCATGAAGAACTTTCATACAGCTTGCGTGTGGTTGATGATCCCCGCCTAAAACAAAAATGTAACACGGGCAGAGGCAATACGTTGACATTAGAAAAACGTGATTGAAATATTTAGCTGCGAATGGTTGAATTTAAGAGCTACGTAAGCAATTAGAGCTCTACTAAGTTTTGTCTGATACTTCATCGAGATTTTTTCTGCACCAAAGTCCAAAAATATGTGCAAATCGTCGAGGTTTACACGTAAGGTTCTTAATACACTATCGTCGAAAATTGTCTCACGAGACTTGACGAGTGCATGCATCGTCATTAAATGTGAACTGCAACTGTGAGAAAAGTCTTCTCTGCTGATTCATTGCATGTTCTGGATGTAATATAATTTTCTCTGGACATGCGATAATTAAATTTCAATTTTTCTGTACTTGTTTAGTAAGAAAATTACCCTTGCATCTAAGATTTTATGAAACTTAGTGCAAATTTGTGTGTGTAAAATCAATATCACTCAAGATACTGACTTTATATAAGATTATCCTTAAATCTAACTTTATATCGATTTCTCCCCTTAAGTTAAATCTTCGTTACATAGCTTTAATGCATCCAATACACTAACTTTATATATGTATAAGATTATTTTGTTTATATGATCAGGTTTTAACTCGTTGTAATTTCTTTTTGAAGCTAATGGTTATTTAAGTCGCTTTATATATAACTTGTTAGTCAATGAATCTTGTTTCAGATTACGTGGGTAACCGTCCTTTTCTTCGTTCAAATTTAAGGGAGTTTACTCCTTAACTCACTCCTACTTACCAATATTTCTCTTCTCGAAGAAGGTTAAAATCATATTTTTTTTTAACAATTTTTTTAATAAATTTTTAATTATTAATAAAAGTATATTAAAAATTACAAAATAAAAAAAATATTAAATAAAAAATAAAAAAATAAAATTCACATGATATTTAATTAATGATTAAAAATAGAGGTATATTATTCACTATTTTCTTCTTATATTTTGGCAGGTTAGCTCGTCATAAATTTATGAGGAAGACTTATCTTCTTAAGTCAATAAGTCCCATCCATATCTTCCTAAGGATGGGTGGGTATCAGACTAGTTTATCTAAAACTTGGATGTCGGTGGTCCTGCAAACAAAATTTGGGGAATCGTGCAAATGTAGCGTTTGGTAACCTATATATAAGACAAAACATGGAATAAGGTAGACGGCCTATTTCATGGATCTGAATTCTGCAGTTTAGTAGGAATTGCACTAGTGCGTTTTTTTTTAAATAAAATTGGTAAAAATTAATTTAAATTTAAATTTAAAAAAATTGCTTAAGTTAAAAAATAATTTTTCTTTAAGTTAACAAATTTTATTTAAGTAAAAATGAAAAATTTTGCTTAAGCTAAAAATAGAAGAAAAAAATAAAAATAAAAAAGAAAAAGTAAGATTGGGAGAGAGATAAAGGAGATGGAAGGTGAGTAAAAATAGAAGAAAGAGATAAAATGGCTAGATGAAGAATGAAGGATAGAAAAATGAATGGAGATAAAAGGGAAGAAACTTAGATGAGGAGAGAAAGAAAAAGAGATTGGACGAGACTAAGGGGAGAAGAGATGAGAAAGGAGAGAGAGGTTAGGTAGAGGTAAAGGGAAGAAGATAGGGTAGAGTGAGAAGAGGAGATGAGAAAAGAGTAGAGAAGAAAAAAAAAAAGCTAAAATATAAAGAAAAGATGAAAAAAAAGAGAATTGCTGCATGTAGTTTCATTTTCGCTTAAACAAGTCTGAAATTAAAGGCTGCAGTGCGCATACTGCATAGAATCTATTTTCTAATTTCATACCTAATTCGTAATAATTCACGGTTTATTATTTAAAAATAAAAAAATTATAAAAATATGCTAAAAATATATTAACTACCAAATTATTATTTTACAAGCAAATAAGAGAGAAATTTTTTCGTTTATTTTTTTTTATAAAATATGTTTAAAAAGCTAATCATTGTAATATAATTTTAATAATTATTAATGTCAAATTATTTTAAATGAATTAAATATTTTTAAATATATTGTTTTACGGACAGTATTATTTACATTTTTAATAAATATTATATATTAAAATGAAACTTTACCATCAAATATCAATTAATTAATGTATATTAACATATTGATCATAAATATTAAGTTTTAGATAAATAAATACTCATAAATATATAATTTTAGAGTTAATATTTATTTACAGTTTAAAAATATATTATATATTAAAAAATTTCCTTGTTAAGTATTAATTAATTTTTATAAATTTAATAGATTTAATAAAAATTTTAATTTAATAGATAATTATTCATCTTCGTATTTCTCGTGAATTTGTAATTGTTTATTTTCCTTTCTTCATCTATTTTCCTTTTTTTATATCTCTCACATGACACGTTTCCTTTTCTTTAATAGCTTCTTCTTCTTCACGAAAGAAGTGTTTACGTAGGAGCTTAGCATAATTGCATCGGAAAGATTAAGATGAATATATTAATCATCAGGAGTGGCATGAATTGCTGGATCGAAGATTTGACTTTAGTTTTCATATTAGTTTTTAGTACATAGCACTAAGATTTGCTAAAATCACTCTTTTGTAATATTCCTTTGTTTTTGTTGTGACTTTCACCACTTGCATGCACCAGTTAAATTTTAAATTAATATTTATTTTTCTTTTTTAAATATTCATTAAATTGTGATTTGTGGAAATAGGCACCTGTATTTTAAAATAGTGTGGGAACAAGTTGAAATTCTCTGAGTTAATAAAATCCACTGTTGAGAAAGTAGGAAGAGGAAGAGGAAGAAGAAGTCAAGGAAAAAGACGAAATGGTTCACAAAAGCGTAAATGGAAGGTAAAGGGATAAAAATAAATAAGGAAGGTGAAAGAGAAAGGAAAAAAGTAAGTAAAAAAATGGCTAAAATATATTATATTTTTATCAAAGTTTACAAAAAAGAATAAAAATAAAAATAAATTTTTAACAGAATTAGCATATTTTTATGAAAAATAATTTATTTAAAGCTAAATTAAAGGACTAATAACATGAGAAAAAAATTAAAAAATTAAATTAAAATAAAATTGAAAGTTAAGAGACTAATCTATTAAATTTAATCAATTCATTAATAAATATAAAAAAATGTCAAGGAATAACGGAATCTTCAAATAGCAATTTAAAGGTCTTTTGATTTCTATTTTTTATTTTTTGGTTCAACAAAGGTCTTAGTTTTGGTCGACAGTCTTACTTCACAAAGCGGGCCAAGACTAAAAAAGCCCAGAAAAATAGCGATCCAAAACTAAAGGATCACACTGATCAACAGTACACTGCACTCTACAAATGGATACAATCAGCGCAAAAACGCTTTTACACTGATCAGACTAAGGAGAAAAGCAGATCTAGCCGATTGGTCTGAGTTTACGTAATATCGGATCACTATATAATGGGTTTCTCTTAATTAGGTTTACGTTAATTTGAAATGTGGAGCTCTTCTTTAAAGATAGTGAGAACAAAAATGTTCCAAGTAAACTAAATAAAATTAGGAAAAATAATAAGAAAACTACGAAAATGAAAAAAAAAACCATAAAATATAAAAATATTTTGTAGCTCTCTAATTAGCCTTTTCATTATTTGAGTATATTTATTCTTTGTTGACATGTTTATCTTAAGCTCTCAGCATAACAAGAAAATCAGCACACCGTCCATTGCCTAGCAATCAACTCATGGGTATTGTTAATAAGAAAAAAAATTATCAGTGGAGGGAAGAAGCAACCAAATAGGTTTTCTGACAGAGTGGTAATTAATTTTATTTTCAATTTAGCTGTTTTATTTGTAAATAATTATCTTGTTTAAGTTTTGTTATTTTTGTAATAAGATAAATATTTTAAAATTTATTTAATTCCTAAAATTTACTTAAAAATAAATTTTCTCAGAACAAATGAGGTTAGGTGTCAAAATCATTTTCATTTCTCAAATCTAAATACATTCTTTAAATAAAAGAGTTGTATTTTTAATTTTAATTTAAATAACTTTAATTTAAAATAAATAAAAAATACAACATTTATCCTCATATAACATCTATCACATGGAAAATGCAATGTGGTAATAACAAGTAGAGACACTTTTTTTATTTTCTATCCTCTATATAACGAGAAACGTTTGTTTGTAAGAAACAAATAACTGAAATAAAATTTATGCTTCTTTTGAATATGTTTTTATATGGATACTTTTCAATACCTGCGGAATACTAATTAAGTATTTAATAAAAAGAAATAACTTATACACTTGAGTTGATACTTTTACGATTTAAACATGCGACTCAACGTTTCAATACAAATGAATACACATAAAGATTATTTAAAAAAATTCTTATCTTTTTTAGCCTCATTACCATAAAAAAAATATTATATATATATATATATATATATATATATATATATATATATATATATATATTTTAATTTTTTTCTGAATAATATGTTTTAAGCTTTAGAATAACCGAGACTCGAACTTGTTTGATTTAATATTGATTTTTAGTTTTTTAAAAGTTATATTTTAAAATAATTTAATAAAACTATTTTTTTTAAAATAAAGTTTATTTGATAAATTAGTTTTTAAAATTATTTTTAATTAAACTTTCATTATTTTTAGGAAGAAAAAGAAAAAGAAAACACTTTATTAGTAATTCTATTATTTAGTTTTAAAAATTAAAAATTATTTTTAAAAATTACATCAATAAACAAATTTTTTTATTTTTAAAAACAAAAAACTATATTCAAAAAGAGAAAAAACAAGTCTTTAGGAGTTTTCATTTAGTTTTTGATCCACAGCACTTTAATAATAGAGTTTTTGACTTTTGTAGACAAAAAAAAATTATAAAAAATATCATAATAGGATAGTTTTCAAATAATTTATTAGAGTAGAAAAATAAACAGTAAGAGATATTATAAAATTCTTCTTGAAAATGTG